CCACAACTGCACGGATGGGGGTGGGGGAGTTGTTTCTGACTTGATGTTTCATGTTTAAAAAAAGATGAAGGCCCAGAGCGGTGGCTCACACCTGTAACCCCAGCACTCTGGAAAGCCAAGACAGGTGGATCACTTGAAGCCAGGAGGATGGCAACATCCTGAGCAATGGGGCGACACCCGCTCTACAAAAATATTAAAAAATTAGCCAGGCATGGTGGCAGGCACCTGCAATCCTAGCTATTTGGGAGGCTAAGGTAGTAGAAATGCCTGAGTCAGGGAGGTCCAGGCTACAGTGAGTTGCGATCACACCACTGCATTCCTGCCTAGGAAACAGAGAAACAGCCTGTCTCAAATAAATAAAATAAAATGAGCAGGAATACACCTGGTAACTGCCATATATTCATTACCCCTAAAATACACACTCTCGCAACTCCCCACCTTTTAATTTTGCATTTTTCAAACCTACAGAAACACTGAAAGAATAATGAACAGCTTTGTAACTCTGACCTAGATTGACCAGTTATCTTTTAACCATATTTGTTCTCTTTTTCATACACCATATTTATTTATTTCTTTTCATTTATGGAATCACTTGAAAGTTGCAGATATCAGTTATGACATTTCACTCTTAAACCTTCAGTGTGCATTTCCTTAAAATAAGGATTTCTCTTACATAACTAAGATACTTTTTTTTTTTTTTTTTTTTTTTTTGAGACAGAGTTTCACTCTTGTTGCCCAGGCTAGAGTGCAATGGTGTGATCTCTGTTCATTGTAACCTCCGCCTCCTGAGTTCAAGCGAGCCTCCTGCCTCAGCCTCCCTAGTAGATGGGATTACAGGCATGTGCCACCACGCTGGGCTAATTTTGTATTTTTAGTAAAGATGAGGTTTCTCCATGTTGGTCAGACTGAGTCTCGAACTCCCAACCTCAGGTGATCTACCCGCCTCAGCCTCCCAAAGTGCTGGGATTACAGGAGTGAGCCATCGCGCCCAGCCATAACTAAGATACTTTCATCACACCTGACAAAATTAACAATGCAATAACCAATGTCCATATTTGAATTTCCTGAATCCCCCCCAAAATGTCTTTCACAGCTGTATAGATTTTTTCCCCTAATGCAAGAATTAATTAATAATCATGCACAGCATTTGGTTGCTGTCAATTTAGTCACAATCTAGAACAGTATCCCTGCTGTTTTCATTTTCAAAATACTGACTTGTTTTAAATATCTAAGCTGCCTGTCTTACACAATGTTCTATATTATAAATTTGCTTCCTCATGATTAGATTTAGGTTAAACATTTTGGCAAGAATACATAGGTATATGTACTTCTTAACATCAAGGGGCACATGTTATCAGGCTGTATAACCACCGATGGTGCTAAAAGCTTGAAAGGTGACACCAGATATTTTTGTCTTTGTAACTAATACATAATCTATGTTGTATCATTTTGAAGCCATGTGAAAATCCTGTTTCCCCATAACTAACTGCGTAATGGTATCACCATCTATTAATGATCCTTGTCTGAACTCATTTTTACAAAATTAATTCTTCAAATAAAACTGTAAAATAGCAAGGACTGCATTTTTATGATCACTCTAGTAATAATCAAGAGGCCACTTAAACAAAATGGAGTGACTGGGTGAATGGTTGTGACATTAATACTCCCAGACAGGTGATCCAGGTGAATAAGCTTAGGGCACTGGGGGAGAGACTGTGCTCAGTCTTTGAGAACCCCAGAACTCAAGGACAGGCATGGAGAAGAGCCCAGCACAGGAATCTGAGGAGGGTCACAGAGGCAGGAAGAGATGAGGCACAGCTATTACCCAGAGTAAGCTTCAAGAAAAAGCCTGTAGACAGAAAGAGAGATTCTAAAAGTGGAAAAGTCAGGCAAAATAAGGCTTAAAAAGTTTCCAGAGGATCACTTATGCTTACGACATGGCCAGTGATGTCAGAGGCATGCCAGTGGGATGGTGGAAGTAGACACTTACTGCAACAGATTAAGGAGTGAGTAAGAAGTGAGAAAGTGGAGTCTGAGGTATGCATTCCCTAAGAGGTTCCTTACTCATTCACTCTTCCAATAAATATCTGCGAGCCTACATGTGTTGGACCGTTTCGGTGTTGGGTTATTCACGTTTTCATGGAGTTTACAGCCAACTGAAGAAACATATGCATAAAACAAATATATAGTAGGAGGTGGTGTATGCTATGAAGAAATATAAAGCAGGGTATGACTGACAGAGAGTGATGGGATGAGGTCATTTTATATAGAGCGGTGAGGGAAAGACTCTGAGGTGACATTTGGCTGGGTGTGGCAGCTCATGCCTGTAATCCTAGCACTTTGGGAGGCCAAGGCAGGCAGATCACTTGAGCTCAGGAGTTCAAGAGCAGCCTGGGCAATATGGTGAAACTCCGTCTCTATGAAAAATACAAAAATTAAACAGGCATGGTGGCACACACCTGTAGTCCGAGCTATTTGGTGGGCTGAAGTGGGAGGATTGCTTGACATTGGGAGGTTGAGGCTGTGATGAGCTAATATTGAGCCACTCTACTTCAGCCTAAGTAACAAAGTGAGACTTTGTCTCCAAGAATTAAAAAAAAAAAAAGGTAACATTTGAGCAGAGATGTAAAAAGACGGAGTGCACTCTGTAGTCCTCTGGGGGTGAGCCCTCCAAGCACAGAACAGCAAATGCAAAGGCTCTCAGTAGGATCCTGCCTGTGTGGCATCAAGGAGGCCAGGGTGGCAGGAAGCAAGGAGAAGAGTGGGTAGCAACACAGTGAGACAAAGCCACACAGGATCCTGTAAAGCTCTGTTTAATGAGAAGAAATATAAGTAGAATGGTGCCTGTGAACCTTGATGCTGACAAACAGGCTTCTGGGGGTAATATAAATAAACAGATTTGCTGGAAATGGTCTCCTTGTTTTCCTTCCGATAACCTCCATGATGTGTTAGAAATTACCTCACTTGTGCTTCTTAGTACTTACTATTTTCCACATTTTACAGTTGGGAAATGATTTGCCTGAGATCACATCCTAATCAACTACAGATTGAAGACTAGAATCTGGTTCTTCCGATTCCAAATCTTTTCATTTGCATACATTTCGGCAAGAGACGGCAGAGGGGAAAGGAGTATAGAAAATACATTTCTATGATCAAGTATGTATTCTCCCCAGCAACGTATGTGATATGCCAGATGTAGTGTGGTTGTAAACCCAATACTTCTTTTTTCTTTTTTTTGGAGACAGAGTTTCATTCTTGTGGCCACGGCTGGAGTGCAATGGCGCAATCTCAGCTCACCATAACCTCTGCCTCCTGGCCATTCGCCTGCCTCAGCCTCCTGAGTAGCTGGGATTACATGCATGCGGATACCACGCCTGGCTAATTTTGTATTTTTAGTAGAGACAAGGTTTCTCTGTCTGGGTTAGGCTGGTCTTAAACGGCCCACCAGACTCAGCCTCCCAAAGTGCTGGGATTACAGGTGTAAGCCGCCATGCCTGGCTATAAACCCAATACTTTGGGAGGCCAAGGAGGAAATACTGCTTGAGCTCAGGAGTTCAAGACCAGCCTAGGCAATATAGTGAGACCCCCATCTCTACAAAAAAAATTAGCTGGGGCTGGGTGGGTGCGGTGGCTCACGCCTGTAATCCCAGCACTTTGGGAGGCTGAGGCAGGTAGATCACGAAGTCAAGAGATTAAGACGATCCTGGTCAACAAGATGAAACCCCATCTCTACTAAAGATACAAAAATTAGCCAGGCATGGTGGTGCATACCTGTAATCCCAGCTGCTAGGGAGGCTGAGGCAGGGGAATCACTTGGACCCAGGAGGTTGCAACAAGCCAAGATCACACCACTGCACTCCAGCCTGGGCAACAGAGTAATAAGACACTATCTAAAAAAAAATTAGCTGGGTGTGGTGGGACACCCCTGTGATCCCAGCTACTCAGGAGGTTGAGGTGGGAGGATCATTTGAGCCCAGAAAGCAAAGGCTGCTGTGAGCCAAGATCACACCACTGCATTCTAGCCAGGGCAACAGAGCCAAACCTGTCTCAAAAAACAAACAAACAAACAAACAAAAAAAAACAAAGATGAAGCAAAATGTGTGATGGGTTACCAAATAAATAACAAACAACAGTGATTTTAATCTCATTTTTTACATTTGGCCATCTTTTCCTAGCTATTCCTTTGGAAATAAATGCTGCCTTGTCATTTCCTCTAATATTAGGAATGGGACAGCAGGGAAGGCTTCCGATTTAACCTCAGAAAATGTGTCAAAGGGGCACAAATTCTCCCATTCCTTTACCCTTCAGCACAGAAGAAAAGGGAGTATCTGTATAATCAAACTCCATCCAAAGCTAACTGAGTCTTTTGCCACATCCTCTGGCCCGAGCATTAGAGTTTGTCATGCAGCTTTAGGCAGTTAATTGACTTGCCAAAACTGACCAGCGATATGGTATAAAGCTACGAGAGAAGCAGGCGAGCCAGGCTTTTCCCAGCATTGGAGATTAATGCTCAGAATTTTTCTGTACCCAGTCATCTTATATGCAGTAGCCTCATCTGTCTTAGAAATTTGCCATTAACTATTGAATTATGTGGACAGGGCAATCCTCTACTTCAGAACTCTTGGGAAGAAGAAAGTAAAAATATTCTATACCATACTAAAAATAAAAAGGGGATCAGCAGTCCATGGCCCAGTGTTTCTCCAAGTGTAGTTCAAGAACAATTTGCATGAAAATGTCTGTGGTGTGCAAGAATCTCTTGACATGAAAATTCCTAGGCTTTAAGAGTTATCATTTTTTCTGTTTGACACAAAGTTTTGCTCTTGTTGCCCAGGCTGGAGTGCAATGGCACGATCTTGGCCCACCACAACCTCTGCCTCCCGGGTTCAAGTGATTCTCCTGCCTCAGCCTCCTGAGTAGCTGGGATTGCAGGCATGCGCCTTTTTTTTTTTTTCTCTGAACAAGAGCACAAATCCGCATTTTCTTATTGACTTTTCATTAGTTTAAATCCTTGAGGGGTACAGCATCACTCGGATTCTGTGTCCAACAGACTTAGCAGGAAGGTTGCTTTGGAATTTGGCACAAACCACGTCACTGTTTCTGCAGGCCCAAGTTACCTTTCCCCAGATCACTCTAGTTTTGTTTGGTTTGCCGCCAGGAGTCACTGTGTTGTTCTTTGCTTTGTATACATAAGCACATCTCTTGCCCAAATAGAATTCTGTTTTATCTTGGGCATAAACACCTTCAATTTTAAGGAGAGCTGTGTGCTCCCTTTGGTTCCGGAGACCCCGCTTACAGCCAGTAAAAATAGCCTTGGACCACAGCCTTCCAGACAGTTTCTTTTAAAAGTCTTGTTCCCAGCAGGCCTCCACAGGAACCAAGATGGCGGTAAGAGAGCTGTTTTTTATTTTGAGACAGAGCCTTGCTCTGTTGCCCAGGCTGGATGGTGGCATGATCTCGGCTTATTGCAACCTCCGCCTCCTGGGTTCAAGTGATTCTCCTGCCTAAGCCTCCCTAGCAGTGGGATTACAGGTGTGCACCACCATGCCTGGCTAATTTTTTAATCTTTAGTAGAGATGGGGTTTCACCATGTTGACTAGGATCGTCTTGATCTTTTTTTTTTTTTTTTTTTTTTTTTTTTTTTGAGACGGAGTTTTGCTCTTGTTACCCAGGCTGGAGTGCAATGGCGCGATCTCGGCTCACCGCAACCTCCGCCTCCTGGGTTCAGGCAATTCTCCTGCCTCAGCCTCCTGAGTAGCTGGGATTACAGGCACGTGCCACCATGCCCAGCTGATTTTTTGTATTTTTAGTAGAGACGGGGTTTCACCATGTTGACCAGGATGGTCTCGATCTCTCGACCTCGTGATCCACCCGCCTCGGCCTCCCAAAGTGCTGGGATTACAGGCTTGAGCCACCGCGCCCGGCCTCGTCTTGATCTCTTGATCTCGTTTCATCCACCGCACACACCCATCCGGCCCCAGCTAATTTTTAGTAGTGATTGGCCAGGCTAATCTCAAACTCTAGACCTCAGATGATCTGCCCGCCTCAGCCTCCTAAAGTGCTAGGATTACAGGCGTGAGTCACCGCACCTGGCAAGAATTATAATTTTTAGTAAGTTCTCTGGATAATGTTAGAGCCACTAAATTTGAAAAACACTGCTTCCCTAATTTAACAAAGGCCAAGAAGAGGTGAGAAAGTAAGATTTTTATTTGCTTATTCTCTAACACCAGGTGCTGATTAAAAGTACACTTGGTAAAGGAGGACTTACTGAGTATTTTCAATAGCTTGATTCAAAATGTCAACTCTCTTGGCTGTGTGGGTAAAGAGTTTGAATTTCCTGGACTCCTTTCAGGATCACTGCAATGCATTATTTTTCTGGAAGTCAGAGAACCTGCGCTTTTTGCCATTTTCCTCACACCCTGGCTAGGGCCTAATTCAGATGGGATGGATTCCACCCTCTAACGTTTTTATCCGGGTGTGGTAATCACCCAATGGAAGGCATCTACAGAAATGCAGTCCTGGGTCTTAGCATCCAAAAGGTGAGGAGCACAGAGGTTCACTGACAGTGCAGGGAATGGAGAGGGTTCCTCACACACTGAGTGACAGAAGAGGTTGGCTATGTCACTGGTGTGTAAGGGTTGACACTAGCATTAGATAGAATTTTTCTTAGGATTCCATATCCAGGTAGATCAGAATCTTTTAACCTGTGGCACACGGTACCCACTTTAGAGCAGCTACAGCTCCCTGAAACTGTGTGACTTTTAGGTGCTTGCTTAGACAACTGTGAGAGGATGTGGAAGACTATGAAGAATACATGGCACAAAAGAAATCAAGAACCTCTGACATACCCAAGGGTTATTATGACAAAAGTAGAAAGATGCCCATGGCCTTCAAATTTCACAACTAGCAGACATAAACAGCAACCTGAAAGCACTTGTACTGAAGGACTTAAAAATGACAGGGTTACTCTCTCACTTCCACTACCTGATCTCACCGACTACACGTCCTGCTTTGATGCTGTTTTCAATTTTCTTTTTAAAAAATAGTTGTATTATTTATTTGTTTGTTTGTGTGTTTTTGAGATGGCGTGTCGCTCTGTTCCCCAGACTGGAGTGCAATGGTACAATCTTGGCTCACTGCAGCCTCCATCTCCCAGGTTCAAGCGATTCTCCTGCCTTGGCCTTCCAAGTAGGTGGGATTACAGGCACCTGCCACCACAGCTGGCTAATTTTTTTATTTTTATTTTTTAGTACAGACAGGGTTTCACCATGCTGGCCAGGCTCATCTCAAACTCCTGACCTCAAGTGATACACCCACCTCAACCTCCCGAAGTGCCGGGATTACAAATGTGAGCTACCACACACAGCTTCTTCAATTTTCAAAGATTTTTAAAACTTGAAATTTGGGCGATAGCATAGCAGCCTATCATCAAAAATTCCTATCTGGACAAGAACCATTATAAACTGTGATTTGCAGGAATTAGCACAGAGTTTGTAGCCAGAAAACCTGGATTGGGTCTGCCTATTTTTCAGTGGCCGTGTAACCTACAGCAAGTCCCATGATCCCTCTGAGGCTAAGTAGTGTCATCTGCAAAATGGCAATGATACTAACTGCTGCACTGGGTAATTATTAGCATTAAAGTAAAAGTGCTTTGCCATCTGCTAGGAGCTATGTTAAGCTTAAGGGCTGTTACTGATGTAACTTTTTTATTCTTTATCACCATTCTGAAAGAAACAGCAGGTGTATGGAGTCAAATGGTGAGAGTTAACTGGACTGGGCTTGACTTCCATTTTTTGTCTTTCTGTTTTTAGCTGACATACTAAAATGCCTATAAAAATCCTTTAACAAAGACCATCAACCAAAGAGTTCTGTCAACAGTTCCAGAGACTGACCATGAAAATGAGCACCAAAACTAAGTTCATGCGAATCAAAGAAAGAATCTGGGTGGTGGGGTGCGGAGAAGGGACTGCATATTCTGGCACAAGCAAGGATCCAAATTAGCAGTCATAAAAGGTTCTTCATACACATCCTGTTTTGGTATGCACACTTGCCACCACCCCTGTTTTGGCACCAGCTATCACCCCCACCCAAGCCAGCAGGAAAACCAACTACCAAAAATGAATGTAGGAAGTGGAGACTCAGGATGCTAAATCTTTTCCTTCCCAACAGTGCAAGCTGTTCCAGTATCTCCTCCTCTTGACCCAATGATAGTGAAAGAGGCTCAAGACTGGGAAAGGTGAGCACACAATCTAATTTAGCACAAGTATCAACAGACACAGTTAATTCCAAAAGGTTAATGTACTAGTGGTTAAATATTTTGATTCTGACCTTCTAGGCTTCTCTTTGACATATATGCCAGCCATGTTTATATCTGGCTTTCATACCACAGCCCAGTCTAAGGCTCTGGATCAGTCTATTTTCACTCCAGTATACTCCTTGGTAAAGTGCAAACCAATTTTTTAAAGAAGCTATTGCCTCTTTCTCAAATCCCCATAATCAATATGCCTAAGTGATCAGTTTAGAATACAAGCTCTAAATCACCTGTGCCCTCCTGCAAGTAACATCCTACTTGGCTGAAGACTTTTAAATCACCACTGTCATCAGGGCTTCCCTTGGGCATGTGATTCTTTAAGATGTGTATTGTGGCTGGCGCGGTGGCTCACGCCTGTAATCCCAGCACTTTGGGAGGTCAAGGTGGGAGGATCATGAGGTCAAGAGATTGAGACCATCCTGGCCAAGATGGTGAAACCCCATCTCTACTAAAAATACAAAAATTAGCTGGGCGTGGTGGCATGTGCCTGTACTCCCACCTACTCAGGAGGCTGAGACAAGAGAATTGCTTGAACCCAGGAGGCAGAGGTTGCAGTGAGCTGAGATTGTGTCACTGCACTCCAGCCTGGGTGACAGAACCAGATCCTGTCTCAAAATATAAATAAATTTAAAAAAATAAAAAGATGGTTTTCTTTTGGCTCATTTTATATCTTTACTATCACCATTATTGTTACCGTATCGGCTCAGCCTACCGTAAAATAAGTTGTAGTCTCTGTATTCTTTGATTTCTTTTATCATCTCTGCACAAACTGGGCTAGCTTAAGGTCCTAGATTCTGTCCACTGGTTACTAAATCCTTAATATCTCATTAATAAATCACAACCTAATCAATTTTTTAAAAAAAATTAGTTTTAAAAGAGCTTTACCAAAATGGATTTGATTCACATGTACTCAGGAAAAAGAATGTTGAAACTCAGGCTGCATATAATAATATAAGTAATGATTTCCAAGTTACAAGTATAAAAACATTATTAAGAAGAAATGCAGGGCCAGGCACAGTGGCTCGTGCCTATAATCCCAGCACTTTGGGAGGCTAAGGTGGGTGGATCACCCAAGGTCAGAAGTTCAAGACCAGTCTGGCCAACATGGCGAAACGACGTCTCCACTAATACAAAAATGAGCTGGGTGTGGTGGCAGGTGCCTGTAATCTGAGCTACCCAGGAGGTAGAGGTTGCTGTGAGCTGAGATGCCGCTGCTGCACTCCAGCCTGGGAGAGCGAGCGAGACTTCATCTCCAAAAAAAAAAGGAAGAAATGCAGCTTCAGACAGAGAGAGATCATAGTAATCAATCCCGGCACTTTTAAGAAGAAATTTTAACTATGCTGTGGGTGCACAGAAACACCATTAAAAATAAAAAAACAAGCTCGGTCAAGACGACAGGGCAGAGGATCTACAGCACAAAAATTATTATTTCCTCACGTTTGCCAAGGTTTTTCTACCATTTGCACATGGGAAAATAATAAATTGAGGGTTAACTGTAGGATTAGAAACATGCTACTCTATGCTATTTCTCAAGGATTCTCAATTATAAAAGACTGACAAGCTGCTTCTCACATCCAGAAAGATTACAGGAGACTTTTTTTCTGATTTGTCTAGGTCAGGAGAACTTCCATGTTTTCCTTTGAAAGGTTATCCCTCTGCAAAAGCTGTCATGCCAGAGCGTTTTTCTTAATTTTTGCTTTAATCTTATGACTCTGTACACCTTTAAATGCCAAAGAGAAAGGCTGTATGGGAAGCTTTGAGAACAAAGTGTGCCAAATGTGACCAATTTTTTCTGTGAGTCTTCATCCTGGATACAACGGCATTCCTGGTCTTAATCTTTGGATTTCAAGACCAGCTCCCTATCTCTGCCATCCTCCCTCTTCCTCAAGATATGTGGGACTTCAGACATCATTAGCAAAAATTTAGGGCCTATACTATATAAGCCTCTGCTATCTGGCACTCTGTATTTGGTAGAGTTTAAGTGATGTTAAATTTGAAACATATGCTTACATAATGAGACTAATAAAGAATCCTGGGAAATGATTCTGTTTAACAGCACATCAGAAACCAACTTCTATATCTCACAGTTGAGATGCTATGAACAGAGCATATCAAGCAGTAGAGAGAGGTATATAGGAACTGGGGGATTCTTTAATCCCTTAAGCTTTATGGGAAGGTCACACCCCAATACTGAATGACATACAGAAACATGAACAACCTTGAAAGGAAGGGAGCCACTGAAGCACCCTGTGTCCTACAGATATGATGATGTCAGGACTGACAGCCAATTCTACAGGATAACTATGTGCAAGTGTTCTGGAAGATGAGGTAGATGGGGTTTTTTCCTTTCCAGAGGTAGAAAAATTGAAAGGAGAAAAATTTGATATAAGGTATCAACCAGAAATGATGAAACAAAATATAGCTATGATTCCTTGCCCCTTCCCTCAACTTGTGGGCCATACCTACCTCCTAGGTTGTACAACGAACTTAAATCTGAGAGCTCTTTTCAGAAACACCTCGGGCTAGCCAGGCATGCCTATAATCCCAGCACTTTGGGAGGCCAGGGCGGGCAGATCACTTGAGGTCAGGAGTTCATGACCAGCATGGCCAACATGGCGAAACCCCATCTCTACCAAAAAAAAAAAAAAAAAAAAAAAAATTAGCTGGTCATAGTGGTGCATGCCTGTAATACCAGCTCCTCGGGAGGCTAGGGAGAGAACTGTTTGAACCCGGGAGGCGGAGGTTGCAGTTAGCCGAGATCCCGCCACTGCACTCCAGCCTGGGCGACAGAATAAGACTCCATCTCAAAAAAAAAGAAAAAAGAAACACCTCAGGCCAAGAAAACGGGTACAGAGGTAAGATGCGACTTTTTCAGATCTCCAAATGTCAATGACAACTTGCTGACCATTTGCAATGTGCTCCTAGCAATGTTCCTATTTTCTTTAAAAGATATGGAATGGAGGGTAAGGAGTGGGGTAAGTGTGAGATAGCAGGATGATGGGGTGTCGGGGTGGTAGAGAATGAAGATTACAACAAGAGTTGGGGGATACAGGATAGTGGTGAGGGAGGGTTACTCACTAGGTGGCTGTCTGGTTAAAAAAAAAAAAAGCCTCATTTTTGGGAACACAAGACCCTATCCATGTACCAACAGGTACACAGATGAGGAGGAAATTCACACCTGAAACTACTCCCAGTCCTCAACATTTTCTCTCATAATCTAAAAATTTGTTATCTACTTCCTTCACTAGGAACGCTAATAACAAGTCCATGGCTGAAGGTGGATCTCGATAAATGGGAAAATGTAATATTCTCATATAAGCAGGTCATTTCTATTCCTACAGGAAAGGCAATTATCCTTACTTTATAGACACAGAGAACAACCCAAAGTATACAATTAGATATTCAAGACGATTTTAGAATCTGGGCTTCTGACAGAATGGGAGAGTTGTTTCAGACTCCATGCCCAGAATTCCAACAGGTTTTCAATAGAGTGGTATCTGTTTCAGTTTGTCTGACTCTCTCATACACACATGCACACACCGCACTTTACAACTGCCTGTCTTCATTCACTCCTTCGTTCACTGCCAGACACTGGGGACTGATATATATATAAATAAGATACTTTCTCAAGGAGATCATAGTCTAGTAGGAGATACAAGCATATAAGCAGATAACTGCAATAACCAAAGAATCATTTTTTTTGGCGGGGGGGGAGGGGATAGGTTCTCATTCTGTTGCCTAGGCTGGAGTAGACCGGCACCATCTTGGCTCACTGCAGCCTCCACCTCCCAGGTTCAAGCAATTCTCCCATCTCAGCCTCCAGAGTAGCGGGGATTACAGGCGCACCACCACGCCTAGCTAATCTTTGTATTTTTAGTAGAGACAGAGTTTCACCATGTTGGCCAGGCTGGTTCCGAACTCCTGACCTCAGGTGATCCACTCTCCTCAGCTTCCCAAAGTGCTGCAGGAGCCACCATGCCTGGCCCATTTGTCTTAACAACATAAGAAATACTATAAGAAATGCTAAGGAGACTGTAATAGATAAGTTACATTAAACAATAATCTCCAGTAGCCCCTGTTATTACAGGAAAGACAGGGAAAAGAACTCATTTTGTGCATTGCTTTTAGATCCTGAACATACGACAGGTCCTGAGAAGTAGCATTATGTTCTCAGAACTAGTGCTGTCATTATAGTTAGTATCCCATGTGTCAGCACTGAACTGCTCTTTATTTTGTGTATGGGTAAATTTTGGTAGCCCAATTTTTGGCTGTTCAGTGTCTTGAGGACAAGTACCATGCCTCTTACGTCTTTAATCTCAGTAGCATCTAGGACTACTGTAGGCACAAAGTAGATACTACTTTGGTGAAAGGGACAAGTAGATGAGACACTGGGTACCTTGTTTCTCCACAGTATGGATTGGAAGATTTGGATCGTTTTGTAAAGCACAGCATTGCCCTACCTGATCACATTACTGATGCACTGCACAAGCCACTTAACACTTCAAGAACTAGGGGTAGGCTGTGTGTAGTGGCTCACACCTATAATCCCAGCAGTTTGGGAGGCTGAGGCAGGTGGATTACCTGAGGTCGGGAGTTTGAGACCAGCCTGACCAACATGGAGAAACCCTGTCTCTACTAAAAATACAAAATTAGCCGGGCATGGTAGTGCATGCCTGTAATCCCAGCTACTCAGGAGGCTGAGGCAGGAGAATCACTTGAACCCGAGAGGTGGAGGTTGCAGTGAGCTGAGATCCTGCCATTGCACTCCACCCTGGGCAACAAGAGTAACACTCTGTCTCCAAAAAAAAAAAAAAAAAAATTGGGAGTAGAGAGTCATTCACTGGAGGATCAAAGAAGAAGATAGCATAATGTAGGTAAACGGTCTGGCAGTGAACTGCAGTAAACAAAAAGATTAATTTGGGACTTAAGCTCCCTGGGCTGATGTTCAGGACAGAACTAGGCCCCAAGCTGGGCAAGGTGGCTCTCACCTGTAATCCCAGCACTTTGGGGAGGTTAGGCAAGGGGATAGCTTGAGCCCAGGAGTTCAAGACCAGTCTGAGCAAAACAGGCAGACTCCAATGCTATAAAAAGTAAAAATAATTAGCCAGATGTGATGATTCACTCCTGTAGTCCCAGGACTACTCAGGAGGCTGAGGTGGGAAAATCCGCTTGAAAGCCAGAAAGGTGGAAACTGCAGTGAGCCATGATCATGCCACTGCACTTCAGCCTGGATGACACAGCAAGAACTTGTCTCAAAAAAAAAAAAAAAAATTTGCCGGGCGCGGTGGCTCAAGCCTGTAATCCCAGTACATTGGGAGGCCAAGGCGGGTGGATCACGAGGTCAAGAGATCGAGACCATCCAGGTCAACATGGTGAAACTCCGTCTCTACTAAAATACAAAAAATTAGCTGGGCATGGTGGCGCGTGCCTGTAATCCCAGCTACTCAGGAGGCTGAGGCAGGAGAATTGCCTGAACCCAGGAGGCGGAGGTTGCGGTGAGCCGAGATCGCGCCATTGCACTCCAGCCTGGGTAACAAGAGCGAAACTCCGTCTCCAAAAAAAAAAAATAAAAAAAAAAAATTTTTTTTTTTTTTTAAAGAAATAGACCCCAAACTCCTTATACTTGTTATAAGGTTCTAACTCTTAAAAATGGACCCTACCATTATTGAGGTAGGTTCATCCTGACTTGCTTAAAAGCCTTCAATGGCTTCCCATTGCACTTAAAACCAAATCCAGCTGGGCATGGCGATGTACACTT